TAACAAACAAACAAACCATTGTGTAGCTTTTCGCGAAATCCATAACAAACAAACAAACTATTTCTCTGGAATAGGAAATTAAATCTCACAATCAAATAATGAATTTGTTATGGGTTTCCTATTTCTTTTAGAATTTTCGCGTAAAATCGCGTAAAACTACACAAAGGGATACCTGCCGTTCCTAATTTTAAGCTGATAGAATAAAGGGACGACAGCTATTCAACAAAACCCACCGTCAACTCTTGGGATACTCTTGTGTGGCCAAATAGTGCATTTAACGGTCACTCTTATCACTCACTCACAAATATGGAGCTGGTTTTTGTGCTAACGGGACTAGAACTTTAAATTCCCGTATTTACAGTGAAGGCTCACTAAATTTTAAGCCACGTCTGAACCTTGATTGAAACAAAGATACACGTATATAAAACTAATGTTATTATTTTCTTATTTGTTGTGGAGCTCGAAGCCAAACAATGGGCTATTTGGGCTTTTCCCATCGCGGGCATAAAACCCCGATTTTTAGCATTATAAGCCCCGATGTTTACATCTGAGCCACCAGGGGGCACTAATATTATTAAGGATTATTTCTATTAACGAACAACTATATTTAATAATGAAAACACACTAAAGCTTTACGAGGGCTATCTGCGCTGGACGTCCTTAATTAAGAAGTGATACACTAGAGAAAATGCACCTAGTCAACAAAACCCATCACCATCTCGTGAGCTACTTTTTTTTTACCAACGAATGGTGGAATTGACCGTCACATTATAACCTCCACGGCTGAAAGGACGAGCATGTTCGGTGACGGGCTTAGAACCCACGACCCGCAGATTGCGAGTCGAGTACCTTAACCACCAGGCTGTGACAACATATGAAGAACAATAAATAACTTATCGCGACGTGAGAGTCTTATGGATCGTTATAGAACCCACGAGAAACACACCACTAGTATATAAACTGTTAACAGGCCGCATAACGTGTCATTTCTGGATAGTATTTGTTTGTGCGTGCACTTTGACATTTGTTTCTTATTTCAATATTATTTA